GAAAAAATGCTAAAGGTGGTTATGGGTTGTACCTCAAAAAAAAAAGTCAAAAAAACTAAACATCAAGCTACCCAAGAAAGCGCTTTATGATTATGAAATAAAGCAATATGCGAAGCTCTTGAACATACCTCATTTCCGAGGTGTCTTCATGCGTGACACTTTACCACGAGACGGTCCACGTAAAAGAGAATGCGCCGTCGTGAACTTAGATATTTCACAAAACAACGGAACTCATTGGGTAGCTTATAAAAAGATAAACAACAACGTTGAGTATTTCGATTCATTTGGTAACCTGAAGCCTCCACAGGAACTTGTTCGATATCTGAAAAACGCTAAAATTTTCTACAACAACGATCCTTACCAAACTTATAATCAAGTTAATTGCGGACAATTGTGTTTGAAATTTCTATACAATAACAATAACAACAACAACAACGATGGATAATAAAACATTATCGGAATTTACATTAGAAGAGTTTGAGAAGAATATTCCGCCGCTGGAATATTTAATAAGCAATGTGAGACCTGCAGAATTGTTGAGTATATGGCACAAACTGCCTGCAGAATACACATCCAATTTTGATCTTCAAATACGACTTCCATGCTATGTTCACTACAACAGACCTGATTGGGCAACACATTGGGATGGACCGGCTACTGCTCAAGCAAATTGTTATTTCTGTAAATTATCCATTCGAAAATAAACAAAAAAAAAATTGAATAAATGCTTAGTACACAGCTATATTTTTTCATTCATCATGTCGCAGTTGTTGAGAGTCAATAGCACTACTCATATATTTTCATTTCGTCCTTCAACACCGATAGTGTTGGATCCGAAAAAAGATTATGAATTGGCGCTTAGGTCTTTTACTTCATACAATTCCATACCGAATATTGAAAAAGGAGATAAATTTTATTATATCGACCGGATAGGTGGTGGTGGTGGTGGTCAATTAAAAGTCATCGAGTTTCCGACAGGTTGTTATGAAATTACCGACATAGAAACATTTATACGAACGCAAATGAATCTTGAAAATGAAGTTGCTCCTCCGGATGATTATTTTTCTCTAAAACCTAACAATAATACACTGCAATGTGAAATCTTTAGCAAGTATTATAAAATAGTTTTTACAGAACCGAATAATCTTGGACATCTATTGGGATTCTCGAAAAAAGTTCTTAATCCTGGTCAAAAGCATTCTTCTGATTTACCTGTAAACATAATAAAAGTATCAACCATACACTTTGATGCTAACATTACGTCGGGAGCCTTTGACGGAGACACGCCTGCACACACGATCTACGAATTTGCTGGGACAGCCGATCCTGGACACGCTATAGTCGAAACACCTGTAAATTTACTATATCTACCTGTTATACCGAAACAAGAAATAACCAACATCACAGTGTTGGCTTTAGATCAAGACGGTCGTCCTGTAAACTTTCAAGGTGAAACTAGTACTCTTGTGTTGGAGTTGAGAGCGAAGCGCAGATGGGATTAGTGATTATAAGACATAGTGGTGTTTCCAAGGCAACTTCAGTATTACCCCAAGCACCTAAGCGACGACATCTACTACTAACTACATCAAATATCCTGTTTCTACGCTCACTTGGATATCATGTCAACAACAACAAGAATCATGTACAAAAAGAGAAAAACTGAGGAGGCAGCAGCAGCAGCATCACATACTTCTCCGATGTTTGATCTATATCGATCTCCAGCATTCGATGAATCTATTCGCAAGGCTGAGTATAGATCTTATACGCCGTTCATCAAGTCATTTAATTGTAATGATGTTGTGGAATTTAGCATCAATCAAGTAGATTCGTTCTTTGCAATGAACGCTTCCCTTCTATCTATCAAAGGGAAAGTTGAAATAACTGGAGGAGGAGGAGCAGGAGATGTATCTTTAGCTCCAAACTTTGGTGCCTTCCTATTTGACTCTTGCACTTACAGTGAATCCGCTAGAGAAGTTGAAACAGTACGTGATCCTGGTATTGTAAGTACTGTCCGAGCTTACGTATGTTACAGTGAGGAAGACTCAAATCATATGGCTATAGCTGGATGGAACTATCCTTCAACACCTATAATGGCGTCAACACATAACAAGTCTTTTAGCTTGCTAATGCCGCTTAAACATATTTTCAACATTTTCAATGATTATCCTATGATTACGTGTGGCAGACAAACTCTCAGATTTGTGAGAGCTAGAAACGATAACGATTGTATCATTATCAAGGAAAAAACTGGAACGACGACGACAGCGAAAATAACTATTGAAAGCATGGAACTGAAAATCAAACATATTTACCCGAGTGATGATGTGAAAGAACAACTTTTGAAAGCTATTCAAACTGATAAGCCGATACTTATACCGTTTAGAAAATGGGATCTGAATGAACTGCCTGCAATTACCGCAGATGCGAGAAGAGAAATATGGTCAGTTAAAACTAGCACCGCAATCGAAAGACCACGTTTCATTATAGTATGTTTCCAAACCGGTAAACGTGACGTCGCAACCTCAGACCCGACCCTGTTTGATCACGTGAATGCTGCTAGTATTCGAGTATCTTTGAATGGTGAATACTATCCCAACGAACGTATGCAATTGGACTTTGCAAACAATCACTTTACTGAAGCTCATTTCAACTATAGCGACTTTCAAACCAGCTATACAACTTCTTCTTCTCCTCTGAAGAGATGTCTTTTAGATTATACCGCTTTTAAAAATCGCGCTTTGTTTGTTATTGACTGTTCCAAACAAGAGGAAACCATGAAATCATCAACTGTTGATGTTAGATTGGATATCGAAGCCGATACTGGCTTTCCAACCAACACCAAGGCCTACTGCATCATTATACATGACTGCTTAATCGAGTACTTCCCCCTCACCGAAGTTATTAAAACCATCTCGTAAGCAACGAAGGACTCTCAGTTCCGCATCAGACATCATGAGGATCGCGTTTGTTGACATTCAAGGCTTTACAGTTGACGGATTATTCGTACCTAAAGAACTATGTATCGAAATTGGTTTCAAGAAAAGTCATTACATCTTTACACCTCCGCAACCTTTTTCTACATTAAATACTAAAGACAAGAAAACTGTCGCTTACTTGGAGAAGAATTTCCATGGGCTTAAATATTCTTCCGGCGACGTTAAATATTCCAAGTTAAATGAAATAATTAAAAATAAGGTGATATATGCGGCTGACTATGTCTACGTTCGTGGAGAACAGAAAGCAAACTTTTTACTCAAGAAATGTCACATTTTTGGTGTTTTTCCCAACATTATTGATGTTTGCAAGTATGATTGTACACCGTGTGCTACTGGAAACTTTGTTGCTGATTCCAATCCATGCCACACCAACGGACAATTTTCCTGTACCCAGAGAAATGTTGAACGTCTACGCCACTGGTTTTCAAATATCATATTACCTATGTAGTTTTTTCTATTTTCAATAAAATATTAAACGTATTATTGTAGTTTTATTGAAAATACCTCTGGTTTGCGAAATAATTGTCAGAATGTCTATACTATTTTCATTTTGAACGGTATCATCCTGTATAATAATAACAGTACATCGTATACAGGTTATGAGACATTCTGACCGACCGACCGACCGACCAGAGGAGCCCACCACGCTATTTAGGTCACGCCTTGCTATATACGATTTAACGATATACCGTCGGTCCATCGCCGCTATTTTTCGATGCACCCCTGTATACACGTTGCCCCCCGTAATCCACGCCAACACCAGACAGGTGCGGCATCGGCGCCATCTATGCGCGAGATGCCCAACCCATCAATGGCAGCTGTCCAATGACACATAGATTCCGTTTGGTTTGTACAGCGCCAAACAAATCGGCGCCATCTATGCGCGAGATGCCCAACCCATCAATGACAGGTGTCCAATGACGTATAACAGATGACGTTTTAACGCCATCTATGCGTGAGATGCCCAATGACGCATGACAGGTGTCCAATGACACACAGATTCCGTTTGGTTTGACAGCGCCATCTAGCGGCGGAATCCCCAACTCATGAATTTCGATTACAGATTCCGTCCAACAACCTGTCAATGGCGCGCGACGCCAGCGCCTCTGGTGGCGGATTTTGGAAGTTTTGAGACCGAATCCCCATAGACCATCTACTGAAGTTGAGTCATTTATTTTAACAGTGAGTAGATCTGATCAAAAGAAATGTTTTTTTCCTTTACCATTTTTCTGGTAAAATTAAAGTAACAAAGTTATAGCCCTTTGGAACTTTGAGTACCGCCCTGTCTCAATAATAATATTAGGTACTCGTGTTTGGCGACAACGGATATAATCCGCCGTATCGGTTCATCGCATCGGAAACAAAAAAGCGAAAGAATTTGGAACGATGTTTTTACAAGTATCTCAGTCATTTGTATACAGTCAGTGTCAGTGAAAGTGGTATCTGTTGCGTGGCTCAAACGAAATAAAAAATGGCACATGTTTATGCGGATCGGTTTCCCAATCGAGTGCAACCAACCCCTAGTGCCTTTGTTAATGTAGTACAACGGGCTCGTGAATCAGGTGACTTAAGACCTCACAGGGGACCTCAGGATCAAATACAGGTCCGCACTGAAATACTTGTCGGGAGGATACTTTATAAAACAAGGTAAAAAATTTTTTTAATTTTTTTTTTATTTTTACACACATATTTTGGTTTATCTTCCTTCTACAATCATTATCTGAAAATTAATGACTCAACTTCAAAGTCACCCTGTATATATATATATATATATATATATAGCATGACAGGGCAAGCTCGATTGTGCGTTCAGGAATTCTTCTCATAATATGCGTCCGAATATTCGACAACATCTACACAAGACAAAATAGAAGTCGCTGCTGGTGGAAGAAGGGACTTTTTCACTTTTAAAAGCAAACTGCTGTATACACGAAGGTGAAAAATAAGGTTGCTCTAGCACATCGTGATGATAAAAGGTTTATTATTCCTAACACCACAAAAAATTTACCTTGGGGACACTCTGATATTGAGTTTTACCAGACTGACCCCTCGTTGAATGTTAAATATGCTATAGGTGCAATCAATGATATTGCAGAAGGCACTTTTCCTGAAAATGGTAATTTAGACTTATTAATAAAATTAATGTTAGAGGAAGTTTGTAAGTATTAGATTTAGGCTACGTCAAGCTTGTACAGGTAAATAAAATCAACATGTAGTAAGAAAATGAGTTTTATTTCACACTTACAAAAACATTTAATATGAATGAATAAGTCCATTTTGGATAGACCCATCAAAAGCATTGTAACTGAAACATGAGTCATGAATAACTAATGCGTACGCCTTGGTGTGGAATGGAAATGCAGATTTCCTGGTCTCAAATTCCAAAGATATGTCGACAGTTGAAAGTTGTAGATGATCAGGCTGATGACAATAACCAAAAGCGGATTATCATTAAATTCTTTAATATCCATCATAGGTTCAGGAATGTTCCGGATGTAGTATGTTTTTTGAAAGTTTTAAATGCATAATAAGCTGCGGTGTTGAACTTTTTTTCGAAATTCAAGTTCCACCTTTCATATGGGAATACTTGGTTGTTCAACTTCAAGCGAATCGAGTTAACGTTGGCATTTATGAATTTCATTATATCCATCAAATGATTTTCTTCAACTGTATAATCTTGAAATCCAATGATAACGAATAGAGGTATCTCTAGTTTACTGGTTGTTCTAATTGCCCAAGCATCCGATGATGTAGAACGAAGAGATGGAAGTTCATAGAGATCCCAAGATCGAAATGCTACCTTGATCCTTGAGCTCACATGTTTATTCAACCTTTGCAGAAGCTTGACTTTGTAACGATCTTCCGGAACGATGTGTTGAACCTTCCATTCAATCTTGGATATAGTCAATTCAGCATCACATTCACCCACATAACAGTTTTTGAAGGATCTTGCAATAACCAACAGAAGCTCATGTTTTATATTTAGAACCCCTTTTTTGTAGTCTTCTGCAAATCCCATCATATGTTTTAGGGGTATCCTACCACTAAAAACTTTGCTTTTGACATCCCATATAGCTGAGTTCTCGGCACTTAAGGTCCAACCACTACATAAAAGTGTATGCATAGCACTTTTACCATGTGACACCATCGTTTTTATAGTTGAAGTTATCCCTGGATTCCGAACTCCATAAACTCCATCTGTAGGGAAATTTCTTGAAATAAAAAGACCAATGCATTGTTTGGTAAGTAGCAGGGTTTCGTAGCGTCGCTAGGCGTAAATATAACTGTCAGAAATGTTTAAAATAAGATCTTGGAAGTTTATAGGGATGTGAACTATATCTGAATTCTTGAAATATGTGGGCTGGCTAAGGAATGATCCATGATTGGTGGATTGGTTCCTCAAATACATCAAATTTCTCATTTGAGACGTGTAGAACCATATTGTTTGATTAGTTTCAGCCCTGTAGACTCCAGGAACTTGCGATTTTGCAGCAAAATATTCGATGCTGTGTCTTTGACGATGGTTGAAGGACGACTAACGGAATTTCCACTTTTTCTTCGTCTTTTATGATTAGTTGTGCGACCTTTTTCTACATTCTTCAAATGATATATATCTAGGATATATAGAGATCCCATTGTCTTCAGCTGGCACTAGACAGGCGTCGCAGTTCTAATTTGACTATAATTTTTTTACCACGGAAATTGACCAAATTCCCGACGTCATCCAAAATTTCCAGTGTGATGTTATCAATAAACTGGCGTCCACGCGGTTTAACGCTCATATATATTACATTCTGAGGCTCCTTTGTTAATTTAAATCCCGGTTCAACGTCTATATCAAACTCATACAAGTGTGCATTGCAATAAGCTCCTGATATTAATCCACAGTCGATTCTTATTATCCTGATGGGAGTTATGTTTACAGGTAAATTCGATGTGTAAATTTTGTTTCTGGGAAAAATTTTGTTCTTAAATCCAAGCATAGTTGCCATGGAATTGGACAGAGCAATATCCAATACAGAATGGAGTTCACACTTCAAAGTATTAGTGTTGGCTTTCAAAGAGAACATTTCAACAACATTGTTTTCATATCTCTGTTTATATGTATCATTCATTGATATTATTTCATGTTGTATGTATTTATTGATATCTTCGATTTCATAAACACCTTCAGGAAGGGTTACCACATTACTCTCGTCACCCTCGTGAGTAAGAGATATTTTATTATGTTGATCATCAATATTGTATATGGTGTTGTATGAATAAAAGCCAATCAACCTCAGACCATATTCCGCACTTATCTCCAACTCGATTGGTGGATAAAAAATAGCAGACAGTTTGCTAGTGTAACCCGTTAGAGTGAATGTGTTAGACATGACTGAAGACTTGATGAATGAAAACATGTTCTTATATAGGTAAAAAAATATTTATTGATTACAACAGTTGTTTGATTCAGATGTATTTTTAACATAAATATCTTGCATGTTACAGTAACAAAATATTTTTCTTGGTGGCGGTTCATCTGCTTCATCATCACTCCTGCTTATTCCATGGTGTTCCCAGCAGAATTGGAATCGCTGTATATCAGCGTCCTCCTTCAAATGCTCCGGCAGTTTGTTCCATACATGTGCTATTTCATTTGGCGTGCAGTATATGACTACCTCTTTCGGTATGTGTGCAAGTTCATCTCGCATCATATTCAACAGGCTTCTCTCCCTTGAAAAGGCTTTAAGAGAGTCTCTAATCTTTTTCAGTCGTTCGTGATCCATTGTCTTCAGCGCTCTGATGTTTCTTCAGATAGAAATCGCAGACACAAATAACCACACCAAAACGTATTGAACTGTTGTTGTCGATTATAATTGTACAAGATTTTTATAATTCTCGACTTGTTGGTCAAATATTTGATTAGCTCCTTGGGTGGGGCTAGATTGCCGAAACTATCATAGTACCATACAACCATGCCACGTTTTATATATGAAACCCAATGTGACCCATCCCCACTCTTGTTATCTAAATTAATTATGAGTGGTTCATTCTTCAGCGGATAATTCTAATTTCTAGGATAATAGATTAGATCTATATTTGTTAGCGGTCGAGGGGGCAGGGTTTTCAATAGTTTTTTGAATTCCTTAACTTGATGAATAACCCCAATCCTTTACGGTATGGTTTCAGAAAGAGACCATCCCCAATTCGATTCACATTAGAAGAAGGTGGTGAAGTGCTTTTATTTTGAATTTGCTCACGCACTGAACTAGCTGTTTTAGCAGCTCTTTTTATGTTGGCAATACCCCCAGCTAGACTACCTAATGCTGAAAGACCGAAAAAAATTGATATCAAAGGAAGGATGCCTCCAACCTTGGGAATAGGTATAACTCGTGGAAGCTGAATCAGCCGTTTTCCACCGATGGATCTGATATGCTTGCGGGCAGCAAGTAATGCAGCGGAAGTCGCCTTTGCTAATACTCTCTTATCTGGTTTACAGTTTGAGAACCTTTTCATGTGTTTGCATACTTTATTCACTATGCCCGATCCAAAATGTACCTTTTTCTGTGATCTATTTGATTTTCTAGGGATAGGTTTTCTTCCTTTAGGTCCACGCCGTGCTGCATGTCCTCCCGTACCTATACGACGTTTGAATTTCATAATACCCGATGCTCTGCGGATGTATTTTCTTCTACTCCGTCCACGACATGATGCTAGACCCATTCTTGCGTGACGTTTCACTTTCATAATATTAGTAACTAATCAAGCGGCAGCTTTTTCTCCAAGTTTTGCGTCTGGAGATTTGACTCTTTTCCGAGCGTCTTGCTCAAGTTGATAATCAGCAACGTGTCTCGCTGTCAAATCAGATTTCTGATATGCAATATCATGCTGTAAGCATGCAGCGTTTACTTCATTAATGCCTTTCTGACCTAGGGCTAACCTTTTTTGAAGACGTGTCCCTGGACCGCAGAACTGGTAAGAAGGTAAGTGTACTTCGAATGGTAACTTATCTATCAGCGTATCGACAAAACCACCAGCAGCAGCTTTTGGAGTGCTTTAACACCTTCTAATGCGAAGTAGTGGCATTTAAATAAATAAGACGTACGCAATTGCAGTTTATATATGCTCAACTCGTTGTACAATGAGGGTCACAAAACAGATACAAGAATTATGTATCAGCAATATTGATACAAAAGTGGCGGGTATACAAAACAATGCTATGCAGCGGCATGGAAGTCTCCTCCCATCCACAATCCGCTGTATTATTGTTGGACCATCGAACTGTGGAAAAACCAACGTATTAATATCGTTACTGCTACATGAGAATGGACTCTACTTTGAAAACGTCTATATATTTTCAAAATCATTGAATCAACCAAAATATCAATTTATACAGAAAGTACTAACTTCGGTCAATGGTTTAGGTTGCAAACTGTCTGTCTATTAATGAAAAACAAGATAAAATGCTAGATACGAACCATGCTGTGTGGGATAGTAATTGTCTGTGTTTGCAAAAACATGAGGGTCTTATACGAAGAAAGACAAATTACTTCGAATAGATAAGTGCATTTTATCTAATCTCTGTTTTAATTTTTACTGGAAGTTTATCTCATTTCAACTTCAACTTTATCTCAAACTTTTTAAAAAACTTTCCATTTTTTATCCTTTTATCTTTTTTTAATCTGTTCTTTGTGTTTTTTTTGCTGTATTTTGAAATGACTGTATTATCAGAATTTGATGTCTTCGAAGGCGGAGAGCATAATTTGATCATAGGATGTGTAAATATTAGATCACTTACTAGCTGTTTTTGTGATGTTAAAGATTATGTGTTGTCGCAAAATTTTGATATCATCGGATTCACCGAAACGTGGCTCAAACCACACATCATTGATAATGATATCCATATTCCAGGATTTCAGTTGTGTAGATGTGACAGGAAAGATAAGAGAGGCGGTGGAGTCGCTCTCTATGTGAGAAAAGGACTGCATTGCTTCCAAGTATCTGATTTTAACTTTGCAACACAAGATGGCCTTGAACAACTTTGGGTTAGGGTTAAAATAAACAAAAAAGCATTTGCTGTGGGTGTTGTGTACAAACCTCCCAATGTTGATTATACAGCTTTGACAGGCCTGGAAGACTCACTACTTACCGTTTTCACATCATCTGATCATATAGTATGCATGGCTGATCTAAATATAAATGTTTTGAATAAACAAGGCCTGGACTATTCATTCATGTCAACAATTTTCGAGGATTTCAATTTGAATCAAATAGTAAGTCAGGAAACAAGAGTAACAGATAACAGCAGAAGTCTGATAGATGTGGTATTCGTAGATAAAAACTTAAACATCACAAAAACCGGAGCTGTAAATCTACCTTTCACGGATCATTATTTGGTATACTTTTGTACAGATTATCCAGCCAGCTTCTACAGACAAACATATATACGTATCCGCGATTTAAGGAATTTAGATACCAACTTACTTGCTGAGGTAGCTTCATCAATGTACTGGTTAGGAGTTATCAACTTCGAAGATCTTGAATCCAAGCTAAGCTACTTGTATGATTTGATCAATATTTTGCTAGAAGTAGATGTCTT